ATTTGGATAGCTATAGGGGTGCATAAGAGAATACCCGTTGACCAAAGTGGGGAGATTCTTATTAGAGTTTTCAGATCTTCGACTTGTTGTAGTGTACATATGTTCCATGGTTTGTTGATGGTGTCCCCTTGGGTTATTAGAGCTGCATGGTTTAGGAACCTGTTTCATTTTTAATCATTAATTAGCATATTTCGAATATTAGTACTTAGTATATCAATAATTACCACATATGATATCGTTATTGAACAAGATAAGACCGGATATAAATTTGAGTTTAAAAAATTAAAGGAGAGCAATGAAAAAAAAAAATAGAATCGAAAGACATGCATGGGTTTCGTTTTAAGTTTAGACTTCTGATTGCATTTGATTGTTTGGTTTTGGAAATTTGGTCCACCCTCGCACTCCTGCATTATGCAATAATTGCGATGTGCATCTTGAGTTACATATGCACTAATCGATCATTCATTCATGCTTTGCTTCAATGCCAAGTATCTCTCACTTATCATGATGTCTAAAACAGGAAAATATAAAGGTGACACTGATTCATGTACCATTGATATGTCCTTTTAAACATTATCTACAAGATACGTACGTGAAAGACATTTAAGTATTATGTAATTTATTTTGTAAGAACTCTGGATATTATATTATTTTATCAAATTGTCTTTCAAGATCTATGATATTAATGAGAGGAGGATTCGTATTTTTAATATCCCCTTAAATACCAAAACATATTGTGTTGATGTTGCGTGTAAAACTAGATAAAATTGTCATTATACTTTTATGTTTAGTATAAAGATCAACAAGATTATCAGTCATGTTAGTTATATTAGATTGCTTAGGTGTAACAAAATCAACAACTGTGAAAAATAAATTTTAATCCAAAAGACCAAGAGAATAATACTTTTTTAAAGCGTAAAAAAGATTATGGAATATTTATATTAGATTAATTGTTAAAATTAGATCAATATAATTTAACTGAAACAAAATGAATAAGCTTTTCGATAATTATTCATTGGTAGGTGGGCTTACTACTTTGTTGGTCTTTCTTGATTACCATATTTGGGAAATTGGTTGGTGGGTTCAACTTGCTATTTCTTTATTATTATTACCCACTAAAAGTTACAAAGTTAAGTTGGCTTCATTCGGAAATGTTCATTACAACAAATTATTAGATGACAAAAAAAAAAAAAAAACTTTTAAAAGTATGCGTATCAAATTAGTTATAGTATTTGAATATTTAAACGGCTATAATATACAATTTAAATGCTCGATTGGGTTTATTTAAGGCTTTACGAAACAATATATGATATAGTAAATTTCTATTATCTTTTTTATTGTTTTAACGTAATAATATACCAAATATCATCAAACAACGAATTTCGGTGTACTAAATAAATATTACCAATTTATTTTGGGACTTTTGTATTTTTGTTATGATCATGTTTTCTCAATGACAAAAATTATTGTTAGGAGAATCACGAATCTTAATTTGTCTTCATCCATATACATTGTCATATTTCATCATTAAATAAATAAATAAAAACTTGTGTATACTTACTTGAAGCTATTTGTTGGAGTAGTTCTAACCGATTTCGTTCCTCCATCTTGTTGCTCTTGACAATAATCCTCACTCTTAAGTGACAACAAAACTTTCCTTTTACGGAAAGCTGCAACCACAACACAAGCCAATCCAGTAAACGGACTGGTTTGTGGTTTTAGTAACCGATACTTACGTCTTCCCACCACAAAAATCACTAAACCAATCAAATTAGCCGCAACACATAAACCGTATCCCAATCCCCAACTCACATTGTCTTCAACATAAATAATCCCCACAACACTAACAAGTGTCCCAGCATACATAGTAAAAAAGTGCCAATTGAAGAAAACCCCTTGATCTTTAGGGTTATCGAATTGATCTGCTCCCATTGTTGCCAACGTGAATCGTGTACCCGCGAGCCCAATGCTCGAAAGAGCTAGGCTCGTGTAGAGTATCGCGAGTTGACTTTTTGATGGGCCCACGCAAAGGTTCGACCCGTTTTCGCATGGTGTGGGCTTTAACGGGTCGAGTGTTGCAGTTAGGGTCAGTAGCAGTACGCCCGCCAAAGATATAAGAGATGAAACCGAAATTATTGAGAATGAGCCAAAAAACGAGTCAGCGAGTATGGCTCCTAAGATTGGGAATAGGGTGGTGCAGCCATTGACTATGTTTGCAATTTGAGCAGCATCGATGCTTTTGATGTTAAATTCATTGATTAGGTACACGATAATATTATTTGCCCATCCTCCCGCTGCTAGTGTTAAACCAGCCATGGTTGCTATATTTAGATGACAAAAAATGGTTTTGTGTTATGATTTTAATTAAAGAGACTTGGATTTAAAAGTAGAAGTTAAACAAAAGAAGAAGCACATATACCTATAAGAAAAGGGAAGGTGATCCAGCCACCTTTAGATGGTTTTGGTTCTGCATCCATTGCTGCAAAATTTGTGTTTGAGGAAATAAGTATAAAGTATGCGTATGTTATTTTGGGGCTAATATAGCAAATGGGACTATGGACCTCTTAAAGGTAGGGTCATAACTCATAAGTCATGCGTATGTTATTTTGTCTTTGTTAGAAAACATATCATGGACAGCTAAGTATTAATGTATTATTATTAAGGGGGTGTTTTGTTATCCAAACTTGGACTACAATGTCTTTGAATTAATTTTATAATAATTAATTAGGTTCATGTTGAAATTTTCTAAACAACTATTTGCTATGTATTTATTTGATCACTATATTTTCTTTGAGACCCAAAATCATTAAATGTTGTATCTGTATCCATTATATGATATGGCCTTGTATAGTTTCACGATACTTGGCCAAAAAAATTATATAAAATTGCACGAATTTTATTTTTTATTACGTATTTGGTCTCAATATATATACAAAATTTATGTTCTCCTAATATTTTTTACCAATTTGTATTATTTACCTTGTAATGGATTTTTGACCAATTATCGGCTAAATCCAAAACATGTGTATACATTTTCATGTAGGTGTCAATAAAATAAAAAAATTATGAAGTAATTTATATTATATGTACATTTAGCCATGATCACTTGGTAAAGACAATGATTCCCCACATGAGAGTTCCTAACTTCTAATCTTGGAGGCTTTAATTAGGGGTGATCATGAGAAAGATAAGGTTGTGACTTGCTAGCATTTCACCATAGGTGAGCCCCCTCCCTCATATCCTTGCCAATCGGGGAAATCCTAGTGGAGAGTTGTGCAACCCATATCATATATTAAAACAAATATAAAGTAAAATCATGTTTTTTGTGGGAATGCCATTGTTGATTTTTCTTATAAATTTAAAAATCTTTGAAATTTTTAGTGAAAAAAATATTATTGAAATGTTTTATCATAAAAAAAATTAATATAGAAAAAGAAGTTAGGGTGTGAATTTATTAAAAAAAGACAAAATTCATGACAAAAATTAAAATTTGAACCAATTTTTTTCAAAAGTTACTAAGGATCTATAACATATGGTAAGGGATGACAATGGATACAAATTTGAAATTAAATGACATTAGGTCTCAAAAAGTTTCGTGACCAAATATATTACGAAACAAATGAACTTCGGTGATAAATAGTGAAACTGGATTATGGGATGTTTAACCTTCGCGAGAGCATCAATACTTGTGAATAACTCGCTCACAAGCATAGCATAGGAGTTCAATATCAAGAAATAAGTGACTCAAGGTGATCTGGTTTCCTTTTTTCTATTCAAATTGATAAGAAGATATGTAAGAAAAAAGTAGAAGGATATATAATTTCTCGTATTCTTATCCATCATCCTAGATTATGTTAGAAAATTTGCAAGCACCAATTCACCAAAATACATTATGAAGTCAATTAGTTCTACTAGTATTTGGATTTTGTGACAACGAATCATATAAAACTGAATGTTTAGGACCTTGTTTGGGCCTAAGGAATGGGTGTTGTGGATGGCATAATCTACTATAGTTTGGGCCTTAAGCAGTCGCCTAGGTCTCCCCCTATTGGTTCGGCTACACTTGTAAACACTATAATGTTTAGGACCTTGTTTGAATTGTTTTTAATTAATTAAAAACCTTTTAAAAAGATTATTTCAAATTTCCTATATGATAGGGTCTATGGTCCATAAGGAATGGGTGTTGTGGATGGCATAATCTACTATAGTAGGGAGGGATGGCTTAAGTGGAGAGTACATAAATATGTGACAAGAAGATCTCGTTGAAACTAAATAGAAGATTCCTAAGGTGGTTATAAGACAAGTTTGTTGTATGGTTTTGTTGGCTGATTAAGAAGGAGCATGAGAGAAAATGGTAGTCGTTGAAATGAGGATGCTAGTCTGCTAAAAATACAATCATATGGTATAACTTTTTTGGATATAGTACCAAATACGACAAACAAAAATCTGTTGGGGGTAGTGTTGGTTATCAACAAACTGTGGGAAAGAAACATGTACATTAAGACGACTGACGAATGTGATGTGGAGGGTGGATGTGATTGGTCAATGGTATGAGGAGGGAAGGATGCATAAGAAGCATGTGGGAAAATAGTTTGAGGTTATATCTAAAGAAGTTAACTCTTTCAGAAGACATTAACTCAGATGGTATTTACTATTTAGCTTTGTAATAAGGGTGGTGGAGTAGTATATGCACCAACTTCTTTTTTAGTGTTGGTGTACTTCCATTCAATCTTTGCCTTCTTATTTGTGTATTAATCTTTACCTTCTTATTTATGTATTTATTCGGTAATTACCTGCTCAATCATTTTTATTTTGTATTCAGTTTTAATAAAATACCCCACAAATAACTTGCTTTATGTATTTGTTCGGTAACAAGCTGCTCAATCATGTTTATTTTGTATTCAGTTATATTAACATACCCCACAAATAACTTTTTTTAACATACGGAACAATAATTGATTCCACAAGCAAACATCATCATTATCATTATTGATGCATCTCTAATAAGTATTATGTCACTATCATGTAACAACTACATAGCGTTATAAATCTATATAAAAATATGAGAACACAATCACAAATCGCAGAAGTTTCATAAAATGATTTATAAAGTTGCACCAAAATCATAAGAATTAAGATACAACTCTTGCTTTACACCTAAAGACGCGAATTGTAAATATGTAATCACCTTTAATTTTATTACCCAAAAACTTCTGAATCCTGCAAAATCCTGTCATCACCTATAAAGTTATCTGAATATTTGCATCTAACACCTCGCTATATTCATATATATGAGCTACACATCTATCTATATATAGCCTACCCAAAATTTGGATTCCATCTTCACCTAAAAAGTGAAGTGATTCTACCGATCGTCGGCATCAGCTATTCCGGCAAACGAAAACGGTTTGAACTTAAAACCATCTCCGGAATAGAATTTGTTTTGGAATTCCACCCAATGAAGCCTCAATGCATGAAGAAAGGCACTTAGGGTTTCCATCATCAGTAGTATGAATCCAGTCGCAAATGCAAAAACCACTATCCCCACCATTCTTATAATCACATTATCATACCTACAAAAATTACTCAGATTTTGAGAAATTTACATTTTTGGTCCCTGAGTGTAGCCATTTTTTGCAATTTTAGTCCAGCTATACTCAGGGACCAAAAATGTAATTTACTCAAAAAAAAGAAATATAGTCGGAAAAGATTACCCCCAAGCAAGGCGGAGAATTTTCTCATAGAATACAGTGGACAATTCTGAGTGGGCCAAACTGTAACAACGAGAAAGAACGAGGGTAAGATTGTAAATTTTGTAATCAACAAGAATGAATATAATGTTTTGTACCTTAAAGCCCATAACCGAAGATATGAAGCTGTGTTGGAAACTGAACCAAGTACAAATTCAATGGAGTGTATCATTTGATATACAAAAACCTCACTGAAATTAAACTCTTCAACATGATGTCTTCTTGCTGAATCCGGTTCATGATCTTCCATATCTATCTCGGAAGCTTCTAGAATGTTGTATGAACGCCCGTGAAATCTCTAAAATGTACAAAATTTAAAAATGTAAAAACAAAGAGAAAAAAATAAACATATAGTAGAAAATAGAAATCGAGTACCTTAAAATGAAGTTTTTGTAAAATGAAAGGTTTGGGGAAGAGCATCCATGGAACTGCAACAATGGCAGACACCAATAACATGATCTGAAGCAGCTTTTGTCCCCAAAACAACTCATTGTCACCAAGATCATCAAAGGGACTTAAAAACATGTAAATCATGACATGATAAAGGTCTGCTTTTGATCCAGTGCACCACTTTATGATAATGAGAAGAGAAAGGTACCCAAAGAGGCTGTTTAAGAAGATCATCTGTGGTATAAACTGATACCTGATGTCTAATGAATTGTTGAAGAAAACTGAATTGAAATAGCTTAATAAGATTCCAAGGTTCATTTGTGTAACACCGAATAAAATAGACATTTTCATTTTCAGAGAGTTTAAAAAAGGTAACTCTGAACGACTTCCACGCCAGCTAGGATCCACACCAAATGGATACGTGTCACCATATTTTATTAAACCAGTTGTATATGCATCACTGTTGTTTAACATACAGATATCATAAATAAGATATTGAGCTTATATTATGAACACGTTGAAAGGAAAAAGAAAGAGAAAAGATGAATTTGAACTTTAAATTAAATACCTGCATGAGGTGTCACGACATTTATATGCAGATGCCCCAAATATGTGAAAAGGAATAGAGAAAAACTCATTGTATATTAAACCACAGTAAATTGAAAATATGGACATTAAAAGGAGCACATAACGCCCACCAAATAACATCTCCATGAAACTCCCAAGTTTCTGCCACATACAAAAATTTGGATTATAAAAAATACCAAGTAAATGACATAAAAAAAAAAATTAGCAGATTGAAGAGATACCTGAGAAGTAAGTTTTTTTTCATGAGTTATGAGAAATAAAGCTCCAAAAAGTAAGCAAATTCCATGACCCCAATCACCAAACATGACAGCAAAAAGAAATGGGAAAGTAATTACAGTAAAAACTGTTGGATTTGCTTCCTGATATTTAGCAACCCTGTAAAAAGTAAGAAGAATCTGTTACTAATATAATGAAATCAAAAAGTATTTTTAAGATGTGAGAATGAGATTTAGGTTTTTACCCATATGCATCAATAATCTCTTGATATGCGTATGTAAATCGGTTAGTTCTGATATATGTTGGAGGTGATTCCACAGCTTCCATTACATGAAATATTATTCCAACTTGTGAGTTGCTATCATATGTTGCACGTTGCAATGCCTCCTGAATCTTTATATAAATAAATAAATAACTTCCATCAAAACCTTTAAAATAATAATAATAATAATAATAATAACGTTTTCCTGAAAAATAAAGAAAAGTACCTGGGACTTAGCAAATATTGGACACCATCCTTCTCCAACTAGACACTTTTTTGTTACATCAAAATCCAACATATTCAATGTGTCGAAAACAGCTTTCTCTCTTTTAACCTACCAAGATTATAAAATCCTTCAAAATATTAAAGAAAATTCAAGTCTTGTATATGACATTTTTTAAGTTTTATTGTTAACAATACAAGAAATGAAGAAAATGCACACCTTACCATGGTCATCCATGTCAACAAGTGTAATCCAATTGAATGTAAAGCAGCATTACGATGACGAATCCCAGCATCTAAAGTGGTTTCTAAATCCAATAATCGTGACAAAATCTGCAAAAACAAATAAAAAGTAATAATATATGATTTATGTTGCATGGTTTTGGGACATATGGAGTGTGAATTAAAGAATAAACAATAAACAGAACACCTCTTCAGTTATTTGTCTCTGTTTTGTTAGGTCCTCTGGAACAGGATAGCAGTTTGCATCAAATGCTTCACAGATTTTCAGAATTTTTGTTCTTGAATGCTCCCCTGAGAAGTACACTACAAATATAGTCTTCTCCACCTTCAAAAGAATCATTCAAAAGTCAGTGTGTGTGTGTGTGTGTGTGTGTGTGAGAGAGAGAGAGAGAGAGAGAGAGAGAGAGAGAGAGAGAGAGAAAGAGCAAACCATTTCAGTTGATACAGGATCCAGGATTGGTTCATCTGCATCTGCTTGATTGAAAAACATATTTCCTCTTGTAGCACGAAACAGTGTTCTCTCAAATAATAACATTTTGGATTTTACGATAATGCCACTGATAAATCTAAGACCTGATGGATTTGATGATCCTGATTGCATTTCTTGATCAAGTAAGGAGACTGAATCTTGATAGTCATGGGAGAACACGTTCTCATCTAATTCTCTCTCTTCCATAACTTCATGACTCTTACTTGAAACTAGAAAGCCTCCTGCCTGAAGAAAAAATAATAAGTTAACAAATTTGATTACTTAAAGAAATTAAAGGTTTTGTTTTGGTTATATATACCTTCTGTAGCACCATCTTGAACTCTAGAAGCTCATTATATGTTTGTTGTAGTTGGTCACTGTTGGCATTCATCTCAAGAAGTTCATGTTCATAATTAGCTAGTTGTATCTCTAATCTTTCAAGATCAATATCTGGTTGTATTGTGGGAAGAGATGAAGATGATAAACCAGCCTTGTGTATCTGATCTTTGAAGAAACGAAGCTTTCTTGACATCTCAGCACATCTTTTTACCTGATAATTGTAGCACAACATGGTAATTAAGGATTTAAGGTTACTTTCTACAATGCATTCAACAATCAACAAGTGATATCAACTACTGACAAAATATAAGCTTTACCTGATTTACAAATATTCTCTGAAAGGGGCTTTTATCAGCATTCAACTGCCAAGGATAATCAGAATCAAGAGATTAGCTAGTAATCTGCCTGATGTAACAAAGATCCATAACTTAAATCAATTTACAAACTAAAATATGAAAACTAATAGATAAGAGCAACTTGTTATTTGGAATTGCCTTGTAATGCCCCAAGAACTTAAACAGAAACACATGCAGACTCCACATCTGAGTTCTTAACATTTGATTGTGGCACAGTTGGTGCCCTCATTCCTCTTCGTCGCTATTTGTGAAATTTATATCATTTGTCTTAATGACTCCATCTCTTTATAAGTGTATAATCTCAAACATTTTATTAGTCTATGCTTGAGGTACTTACAAAGAAAATTAGGTTACCAAACCACCATAACCTAAAACACAGCATGCATTTTGCTATTGGATACAAAAATTTAAGTAATTCATGTAGCACAACACGAAGATCCTAACCAATCACTGCTAGAATAGACAATAAGTAAAATCAAGTCCGTATAGTAAAATGTGGTATTGAGGAGTAATACATATGCATATATAATTATAAAGAGAGATTCGGATTCAGGAGCATACGTCACGGAACTGTAGAAGGCCGAGTTCGCCGAGATAAGAGATGGCGCGGTGAGCAGACTCAACGGGGATGATTAACTGAACCGATGTCATCTTCTCCGACCGCATCATATCCATTTGCGGCAAATTCTTTAACAACTCCATAATTATTGTTCCTACTGCTGCTACTCTTACGCTACCTACGGATTGAATGAATGCTAAATTTTTGATCTTGAGGGTTATGTTTGAGATCTGGCCACCGTCAATTCATTTTCTATGTTCTATATGAAACCCGCGTTACGATTCAATGTAATTCGTCTGTTTTCTTCTTCTGGGGTAAACCCCTCATCGTCGTCGATGATCAGGTGCATTTTAGGGATATGTTTTGTTATTCGTTTTTTACAGCTAATTATTAAATAAAAATCTAAATATAGTTGAAAAGATAGTGATAAAAAATAATAAAATTAGTTAAAAGATATAAAATAATATAAAAGAAAATTTTTTAAAAATATGTTTATAAATTAAGGGATATATTTGAAAATTAAAAAAATAAAAAAAAAATAATAATAATAATAATCTAAGTAGTTTTTTAAAAAACAAATTTATAAACTATTTTTTGCCTTGTCAAAATGAAAATTTAAAAAACTCAGAAAATAAACTAACTTATCTAACTGAGTCTAACTGAGTGACGAACTAATCAAGCCTTAGTAACATAATTAGAATTAGAAATCTTTGATTTTGGTTTATAGTTTTTAAAATGTCTTTTATTTGGTCCTGACACTTCATTTAATAGTTTTTTCATGTAATTATCAAATAGTGAACAATTAGAACCATGCTTCTTTTTTACTTGATATGTTTAATAAAATGGAGATATGACTTATTCCATACAGACATGTAGCAGCATTTTTTTAATTTAATTCATATAACATGTCTTAATAGGTTAAGTGTAAGAAATGAGCATTTGTCTATTAAGACGCCTTTTTTTTCTTTTTCACCTGCAAGGTTGGATTTACGTTAGCCCAAGAAGAGTAGCATACTTAATGCCATATGGCCCATATCCCATTTGATTTGGGCTTTATCCTACTTATTTTGTTGGTTCTTATCGTATTTTACTTCTATAAATAACTAAAAACCACCACTTTCACTCTCTTAGAAACTCAAACTTAATTAATTAAAGTAAGACAAAATTACATAAATGGGTCTATATGATTTATCGATTGATGATGATTAATTCAGTCTTTACTAATATTTTTTACAAATATGATCATTGTGATTTCTAAAACTTGTATGAATGGTTCCTTTTGTCAATGTTGTTATTGTTTATTAAGGTTCTAAAAAGCTCGATATGGCTCCGTCATGACGCGTCACGACTCCAAAGCTTGCATCTACCGCCAAGAATGGGCGAAGGTTATATAGGGCCAGGAGGGGTTCTGCCCCCCCCCCCCAATGCTTTCCAATAGTCCAATGAAACAAAAGAAGGGATCCTAAATTTGCTGCTGACGTGTTGTGTTGCTGCAACATGTTGTACGAATTCCCATTGTTGTCGTTGCGTCCCTACTACCTGCCCCTATTACTTAATCAGGTTTTTTTTTGTCTTCACAATGCAAAAATCATAGTCTCTCATCTCAATTATGTTTAACTGTCATGCGTCCCTTTTCCGAATCAATGATTGATTTCAAATATCTTTAACTGTTTAATTATTTTTTTCTAAATCAAAATCAACAATGTTTGATTGTTTTAAATTATGTTATATCATGTAGTTGTTAGTTAATTGATTAGATTTTTGATTGTTAGGATTTAGGATTAATTTCATATATGCTTAACTGTTTGATTATTTTTTTCTAAATCAAAATCAACAATGTTTATTGTTTTCAATTATGTTATATCATGTAATTGTTAGTTAATTGATTAGTTTTTTGATTGTTAGGATTTAGGAGCATTGTTAGTTAAATGATTTCTCATAAATAAAATTTGTAGGATTTAGGAATATTGTTGGTTAATTGAATTCAGAATTTTGCAATATGAGATTATGATTTCAATTTTGATTTTTATAGATACAATCATACAAAGCTTACAATTTTATGGGGAAGATGAAAACCATTGATTCTTTTTTCAAAAGAAAGAATGATGATGAAGAAACTCATAATGAAAATCAACAAAGTAAACGTCACAAAGCTTAAACAAGTGAGCCGCAACCGCAAGAACATGAAAATCAACAAGAGAATGATATTTTTAAAGCTACACAACCAAATCCTAATGAAGTGGATCTTAAAAATCTAGAAAGAGATCCCGCTAAACGAAAACAATATGCCATATGTTTCTCCCACTGACGCTGATGCAGATAACGAACTCGCTTCAGAACTGCCACCTGTTACCACTCATCAAAATATCTTCCAAACGAGTTCGGATGAAGAGCTTTCCGAAGAAGTCATGTTGGATGATGAAGAAAAAACTATTCCACCCACAAATTTCATGGATTTAGTCCGTTTTCAATCAAAGGCATCAGTATCCGAGTCTACCTATGACTTCAGATCCTCCTCCTCCTTCATTTCGGTTGGCGACTCAAACTCCAACATTCAAGCTCACGAAGATGATGTTGCAACACAACCTAGTCCATCAAATAATTCCTCATCTCATCAAGCAAAATTTCCTCACTCCAATTCCGACACGGGATCTTCCGCTGGCAACTACATCGATCCCTTTGCTCTACCTGAGATGCAAACCAATATGTCGGATACCATGCAGAAGGTTTCATCAATTGAAACCTATGTAACCGAGCTCAATAGTCAAGTGAATCAAAAGATTTCCGGACTTGATTCCAAGCTTGATATCATTCTCCAGTCGATATCACAGTTGTCCGGACCATCTGTTACGGAAAGAGAAGCCCAACTGGACAAATTAATTTCTCTCCGACTCAAGCACTCCATGGAGGAAGTTGAAGCCATGTATGATGCCTCCGTTGAACACTACCTCGACACAATCACCACCATGTTAAAAGTTCATGATGACTTGGTGTCTGTTACAAACGAACTCATCAAGCAAACACATGTTCGTCACGAAAAGCAAATTCAGAGGTTAGAGAAGGAGATAAAGAAGAAGGATGAAATGAACCTAATTATTCAACAAGTCCTCATCAAACTACTTCAATCCACATGGAACATCGTTGATGTTAGCCGCTAAAGCAAAATCATTACTCACTGCCCAAGCCTTTCGAGCCACACCTTCAATGCTTCCACCGATTCCAGCTCCGAAAATTGCTCCAGTTGACCGGGGCTCTCCTCTCCGAATCCCTAATAAAATTCAGGAAGAACCCCTTCCAAACCCTACTCCGGAATTTATCATTGATAAAAACATGAAGCTGATAATCGATACGTTGAGGAAATACAACAAATGCAAAGGGCTTCTATCAGACAAACAAGCTGCTCACTCCGGACCTCCTATAAAGCAAAAATATGGATGGTCTTAGGAGGAAATCAACAGAGCACTAGAGGACAGCATCCAGATCCAAGCTCTCAAGGACAACCCTGATCCGATGCGTGGTATTTCCCCTCTTTTTCGTGAAGGCATCCTACATGATCATGAGATTATCCCACTCATGTATTACGAAATTCCCACAAATGATTTCGAACAACTGGATCTTCCTCTCTCTCCCCACAACAAATTCTACACCAAGTTTGCTCATCTTCACCCATCAGATGACTGGTAGGTGATCCTCCGGACTGAGCGAGAAAGACTTACAACATTCTACTCCAAGAACGCACAACCTCTCAAGGAAGTGTGGACGAGGAAGAGAATTACTAAAGTTGATGGGTTCGGAAGAAATTTTTTGGTTAAATTCGATCTGAGTTACCCACTATTCAAATCCCATGTCCTTCGGAACAGGCCTACTCCCCAAACCATTTCTGATGCGGATTTCCCTTCAATGAATCCAAACGACATTCTCACCCTGGCTGCTTACTTCAGAGTGAATAAAAAAGATGACATAAGTATGGGTGCATATTACACAACTATGAACTTTCTCAAAGACTATGTCACGGAATTTTGTCGACACGACTATGAGTTGGCGCACCTATATGGAACTAAAAACTTTGTAGCAAAAAACAGCGATGTTCTTCCGGAAGTTGAACTTCTTGTAGATGGCCCAATTGAAGAACCGGTTATAGGGTTTATCTACACTACCAGGAAAACAAACAAGAAGGACTTTTTCCGAGTTCTTGACAAACACCTGGTTCCCACCAAAGCCCTGAGGAAGTTCATTTCACGTGCCTCCAAATTAGAAGCTCCAGAACAAGTCAAAGTCAAGTTTGTTAGTCATCTCTCCTGGTATATTGAAATTAGAGAATGGTTGTTCAAAGCCCACACCTTCATCAAGGAAGATGTTGTTTAAACTGCATGGATTGTTAAGTTCACTTAGGGGGAGATTGTTGGAACATGAAAGTGAACCTTAGCAATCCTAAGCTCAAAATTCCGGAGTGGAGATCTTCCGAAACTGATGATGGTTCGGAGGAAGAAATGAAGAATGGTCCATAATATGTCCGGTCCATAAGAGGAGAAGAAGAAAATATTAAGTGAAGACATTCAGGAATGACTCTCATGTCCGGAATGGGTGCCGATGTGGAATCAACCTGTTTTGTCTTTATGTATTTATGAACTTTGCCTTTGTATTGATGTAACGTTTCATAGGACATAGCCTTTTGTAATGTTAGACAATCAGAATGTCAGAAGAATTTCTATTGTCCAGTCCTATGTAAGTACCTCGGTTAATTCGCTGTAACATTCACTCCTATTTATAGGAGCTTTTAATGCAAAGTCAATCACGGATCATTCACCCTACTTTTGGCTTTTACTAAGTTGTTTTAAAACCTCTCTCAAAACATTCTTCTTGTTCTTCATTTATTAGCTTTAATTTGATCATTTATTCTCATTCTTCATTTAACGACTTGATCATTTGCCGAACTCATTATCTAAGACTTGACTGGTCTTTCCAGACTTGACTTGAACATTTATTAGCAAGCAGACATTGATCTTAATCATTCAATCAAAGTTTGAATTCTCAGACCTTGTCCCTGCGCATTAGATCGTACTTTTTCTCTCAAACAGACATGACCACTGAGGCCCGAACAATCATCCGAGCCATCCTCAACCTGGACAATCATACCCCGATAAACCAATAATGGCAGGATACACCGCAACGAATCATGGTGCCAAACCGTGCCACCTTCCTTAACCAGTTCCTTAGAATCACCCACTTTTTCCTCTAGTCGAGTATGAATCTTGTGCTTCTAGTAGTATGGGCCCAATACTACCTTCCACACCTATCCATACCTTCATCAATAATCTTCTCGGGTCCTCTAAGTAACCACTCTTGTCTGCATCCATCCTATCCATTATTATACACCCGTTCTCAAATAAATACCCATTGCTAAACAGCATAGGCCAGCCCACTACAGCACATCCTAGGCTCTCCTAGGTTCCCGACCTTACCCTGCCATTAACTGCTAAAGAACTCCCAATAATGTCAGTTAACTACTTCATGAATACAATCACATGCATCAAAGCTTAGATAATCTTCCGAGTTAAAGACTCGTCTCTACAGTGGTTAGACTCAAACAAGAGCTACACGGTAGGGTCAACTTTGTCACTCTGAGATTATTTAGCCCATGCCACATGTGACTTAACATGTTCACTTAATAGTTCACTCACATCATCATGAGTCCCACAAAGCTCAAAGCACGCAGCAGTTGTGTAGTAACACTCCAAGTCACAGCCAAACATAAGACATCTCAATCTTACTTCCTACCAAGAAAGATTTCAAATCTCGCATAACATCCAATTTTTCTTACTCTACAAGGCATCACATATCAGGCGAATCCATCCACCAAACATTTTCGCAACTGAGAGACGTGAAATGCGCTATGGATCTAACTAAACAACTCAGGAAGATCTCGATGATAAGCATCCCGACCTACCCAGGCCAAAACCCTGAAAAGGATTGATGTACCCGAGACAACCACCACACTACTCCCCACCATCAGATGCATAAGGAACTCCCCCTAACATCCTATAACTAGCTTACAAACATAATTAAATATCGCCAACACTAGATAATTATTCGAATGAAAGGTCTCACACTACAACAATTGGATTCAAACAAGAGTTGTGCAACAAAGTTAAAACCTAACCTTCTAAAATTATATAGTCTCAACAATATGTAACTCAATATACTCACTTAATAGTTAGCTAAGGTTAATGGAAACTCCAAAAAGCACAAAGCAAACAACATTCAAGCATCGAGTAATCAGAACAAGCATAACCTAAACATACCATCCTATCACTAACTGATCAGTACTAGCATGCAAGTCTACAAGCTCATACAATATGCATATAAATGCATCTCTCCTGACATTCTATCATGCAAATCCTAAGTAAATCCTTAACCCTGACTAGCATGTGATTCATAGATTCATAAATCAAATCATAGCATAAAACATGCATGGGTATTTTGGAAAAGCTTACTTGAGCTTGGTCGATTGCATGCACTACACTCTTCTTCTTTTATTAAAAAACCTTTTTTAAACATTTCTATTTGAAAAAACTACCAAACCCTCAGTTTGCGTTCAGACAGACCCGATAATCTATTTTTTTAAAATAGTTTGAAATTTGCAACGTTACGAACATCTATTTTCGAAAATTGTTCCAGAATAAGATTTTATTTTAGAAAATTGTTTTTTTTGTTATAAATACTAATCCAAAACTAACTTAACCACTTGAGTTGTGGTGACTTGGTAAGATTTTATTTTACCAAGTCATGACTAGTTCATCATGACTTGGTATAAATACTAATCCAACATGATGAACATGACTAGTTCATCATGTTCCAGAATAAGATTTTATTTTAGAAAATTGTTTTTTTTGTTATAAATACTAATCCAAAACTAACTTAACCACTTGAGTTGTGGTGACTTGGTAAGACATGTGGAAGATATGGTGGATAACATATTGACCCAAGTTCAAATCCTGACACCACTCAGTCCTTGTGGTCATGGATGTTCGCTTGAAGTGACTCTAGGGCATGAGGCAGAGCTTCATGTTTTGCAGCGGGGATTAGTTGGTGTGCGAAAGCGCGCTGGCCCGTAAACCCTTGTTAAGGAAGTTCCCTTTTTAAAAATAAATAAATAAATAAATAACTTTCATTTAAATACTAAAAACTAGCATGTATACAGATGAGCAAAGAAACCGACCCGAACCGGACCCGACCTGAGAACCGAAGTCGGCCGAATTAAGAACCGAACCGAACCGTTGGTTCTACCGGTTCCTGGTTCCTACCGGTTATTATCGTGTCTTCAATGTTGAAACCGGTCGTTGATAAATAGCAACAAACGATTCCGGTTTTTGTCAATTTTAAAAATCCACAAAAATATCGTCTCGATCCTGACTCGACCGGTTCCGCTTCCGGTACCGGTTTCATCCGGTTTCCCGGTCCATATGCTCATTCCCAAGCATGTAGCATAAACTCGTCCGAATTCAAAGATCTTGGTCGGTAAAGTGTAAACTCATTCGAATCCAAAAAATAAATTCCAGGATGTGATGTATACCATACATTTGATTTTGCAAATAAATATAGAGCTGACATGAACACACACGATATCTTCTTTTTTTGAACAACTATAATTATAATCGTATTCTTCGAACATCTGGCTCATATTCGAACACACAGACACAGATTCAACATCCCTTGCAGACTAAAGCCGCTTCACAGTTATTTCATATACCGTGGTTTAATTAAACGGGCAAAGTCTTGATATATATTTTTTTTATAATCATTAAAAAAATCATTTTATGAATATCCTTACATTCAATGTAACAATTATTAAACTAAACGAAATGAACCCATGACAATTGACATGCCACCTTCGCTCTGTCGACAAAGCAGATATTTCATAGAGTAAATTACATGAATGGTCCCTATGGTTTGAGTAATTTGCGCGTTTGGTTCCTAACTTATTTTTTTAACTCGGAAGGTCCCTACTGATTGTTTTTATTATGTGTCTGGTCCCTATTGTTTGTTTTTGTTACGCGCTTGGTCCCTGTCATACCTAAAAAGACTATTATTTAAATAGGAAAAAATAATGCAGTACGTAAGGTAAGATGAGAAGGGTGAGATTAGGGGTGTGTTTATTTAAATAAATTAAAAAATAAAGGGAAAAATAGATTTTTTAAGTAAAACAGGGACCAAACGCGTAACAAAAACAAACAGTAGGGACCTTCCGAGTTAAAAAAATAAGTTAGGGACCAAACGTGCAAATTACCCTAAACCATAGGGACCATTCGTGTAATTTACTCTATTTCATATTTGCAGTTTTAATTTACACGAATTACCCTTTCTCTTTCCTTTTCTCACTTTCCTCCCAAACCTATTTTCGTCATTTCGTCACACAGAGTCACACCTACACATGCTTCATACTTTCATCTTTGTACTCTTCCCTCCCTGCCTCCGTTCATTCAACTCACGCTTATATAAAAAAAAACCCAAATCACACACACCACACACAAAGCTTGAAAATAACTATACTTTTAGAGAGAAAAACAAAAATATAACTGTAGATTCTAGAGAGAGAGAGAGAGAGAGAGAGAGAGAGAGGGAGGGAGAGAGTGAAATCATGAGGTCGAGCAACCATCTGATTGGTATGTTAAACTTCCTGACGTTCCTTCTATCAATTCCAATTCTCGGTGGCGGAATATGGCTGAGCACGCGAGCCAACAACACCGATTGCATGAGCTTCCTTCAGTGGCCATTAATAGTCATCGGAGTCGCAATCATGGTGGTCTCACTCGCTGGATTCGCCGGCGCGTGTTACCGGAATACTTTTGTAATGTACCTTTACCTCTGGGCGATGTTCGTCATCATCGCTCTGCTTATCGGGTTTGTGATATTCGCCTATGTGGTAACCGACAAAGGATCGGGCCGACCCGTATTAAACCGGGAATACGAGGACTATTACCTACCGGACTATTCGGGTTGGCTTAAGGATCGGGTTGCAAGTGATAGCTATTGGCGGAAAATCAGTTCCTGTATCCGTGATTCGAATGCGTGTGCAAAAACGGGTCGGGTTGTTGGTGGGTTTCCGGAGTCTGCTGATATGTATTACCAGCGAAAGCTCAATCCAATCGAGGTAACACTCATTTTCTTTTAGTGTTATAGTAAATTATTTTTTATAAATATTTAAGAAAATAAAAATGATAGATATTTATCAGATGGATATACAGTACTATATTACTATTTAAAGTAATACTATTAGCCATGGTCCAGTTATACATTATCTGTCATTATTGTTTGACATACGTAAAATTTATTTTAATGTTTATTTTTTCAAAAGTTACGTGATGTTTTGGTTTTTCTAAACTTTTTTTTTTTTTAATATTGATAAAGAGAATGTAACATTAATTAAATATGTGTAGCAAGAATATTTTTAATTTTATCATATACGGGAAACAAGTATGAAAGACAAAAGTGAGTATGAACAATTTAATTAAATAAATTGCTAAATTTATTGAATTAATGTTAGGTGTGAAACGATCGTGTCGTTGTCGTGTACATTAATGATTGGTGCCAGTTTTTTTAATTTTCCATACTTGTCATGTAATTTCGTGGAATAGGACACCTATAACACGTAGCAAACTTATGTATACAATAATTGAAAAAAAAATAATAATAAGTAATAGAATATGGAAATAATTCTAATTACTGACTATAATAAATATAACTATTTAATTTAAAAGCATTGAACACTTTTTAAATGTAATATACATTCATGTAATAGTTCTGTATTCGTCTGTACTTTTGTTTCTTAATAAAAACCAACTTCACTTTAAATTTGTTTTTTTTTTCTTTTTATGAAATAAATCCATTTAAAATTCTTCTGAAAAATTATGTCAGATTTACCGAATATTTGTAGGGTCATAGAGGTTTAGAAATGCAATACACGTGTTGAAGAGAGACAGTAGAGTGACACAAATGGCCTAACAAAGTCGTTTCAGGTGTCACTATATCAACAAAGCCCGGCTGCCCAATGGATAACCCATAGAAATCGGTCCATTCGGTTCGGGTCACAAAGACATCGAAGCAAAATCACAAAGCTTTAGAACCAAATAAGATTTTTTCATTTTGTTACAAACCAATGAGTGTCACGAAACGTCCTCTAACTTCTGACATTAGTACGGATGGGACCCCAAAAGTTTGGTAACGTTTATGAAATCAGAATCCCATCCACTATTAAATCCAAAATAGTTTAAGGACTGTTATTGTAATTCATGCAAACTTATCTCATCCACGCATACGAGTTGAGTCGGTTGACTTCCCATCCACCTCTTATCATTTTCCATGCACATTTCACGCACAATCCAAAATGTATCCAACTTCTTTAATTTTAAAAGTCGATAATATAATCATTACATAATACGTCAATTATCTTCGAAAAAATTCTATTTTTTATTAAAACCATTAAATTTATTTTGGGGATTTATAATTTATTGGTTGCTTGGTCAAAAGATCCCAAATCTCAACTGCCTCCTCTTACTTACCTTTGCATTTTCCCTTCTGACCTTAATTCTCCCCTTTCCAAGCCACGCCCTAGTGTCCCACTTGCTTTTTCTCTTCTATAATACTTTTACTCCGCCATATCATCAAAAAATTAATTCTAAAGTAACGAATTTTTGGACTTTTCTAATAATAACGATGATGTTTGAAAATTTTCCTTCGATCTAGTTGGTAAATGGGCCCCTTGTGTATCAATAATTAATAAGAAAAAATAAATTTCATTCTATTTTCCTTTATACCCACATTCTAACCATTTAAAATAGCAATTCAACAATTTTTCTCCATACACAACAATTATATTTTAAAATGTCATTTTATACAACTCTATAAAACATTAATTATTGTATAATGAAAAATACTATTGTGTACGAATAGTTTCTCATTTAAAATTATGACAAGTGTCCTAATATTATTGGGAAAATAAAACTTGACACTTGTCATCATTTTAAATTGGTAGAATATAAGTAGCAAGGAAGAGTAGGAGAATATTTGATTTCTCAATTAATAATTATTAATGAAACCTTTTGTTTAATTATTGCAGTCGGGATGTTGTAAGCCACCAACAGAATGTGGGTACGTGTATGTGAACGAGACAACATGGAACCCGGTTAACTCAGCGTTAGCAACAAACAATCGTGACTGCATGAGGTGGAGTAACGACCAAGAACAGTTATGCTACGGGTGTAACTCGTGTAAGGCGGGGGTGTTAGCGAGTCTTAGGAAAAGTTGGAGGAAGGTTTCGATTATTAACATTGTTGTTTTGATTCTCCTAGTGATTGCATATGTTGTTGCTTGTGCGGCTTTTAGGAACAACAAGAGGATGGATAATGATGAGCCCTATGGAGAAACCCGAATGGAGAAGTCGCGACCTAGTTGGATACAATTTTAGTTGCTCTCGAATTGAAAGAGAAATTTAAAAAGTTCTCTTTTGTTCGATTTTGGATTTTGGTTTTTAGGGTTTTTGAAGGTGTGTGTATGTTTTAGCCTTTTAGGTGTGGTGATTTTGCTTTCGTAAATGAAGCGTACAAACTCGAACGTACATATCATATATATGTTATTTGCATTTTAATTTATTTGTGATATTTCATGTATGTTTTGAAATTTAGGTTCACTTAAAGGTCATGTTGTGTTGTGTCACGTAAAATTATGAACATGTAATAGTTGTATTTGTATGTGTTTAGTTATAATATTAAGGTAAGGGTGAATAAAGGTTTATTCCGTCTTAGGGCTGAAAATGAGTCGAGGCGAGCTATTGTCTTAAAAACTTGAGCAGTTCAAACCTTTTCATAAGAAACCATGACTAGTTAAACAAGTTTTTTCATAAGAAACCATGACTAGTTAAACAAGTTTGGTTCGAGCGAACTCAAATAACATGATGAAAGTCTCTTTAGAAAAATAGGTGATGTTTTTAACAGTTTTGTAATAAAACCTTACATAAATAAAATTTATAACAAATTTGACATGTTCATCCCTCATTTAGAAATTTTGAATTCGTTATTAGATATAAACTATTTTTTTATCTAAGCCTTTCATATATATATATATATATGTACACCTATCAATAGAATGAATCTTGATCCAAACCATTTAATCAAATTCCGTTCTATCACCCAAAAGATTTTTAATAATTAAACACATACTCTTATTTACTTCATCAACAAATATCCACTTCATCAACCCGGCCCATTTAAATTATTAAGAAATCGATTGTAGTGATAAACACACATTGTAAAATCGATTCCAAGAAAAAACATAAAAACTCCAAAAATTTATAATTATTTTTAACTACCATCCTATTGTGAAAACCTCTAAAAATAGTTTGCTATGCTTTAGTTAAAAACTCAAAACACACCTAAGGTCTTAGAAATCTATAAGAATTCAATGGAGCAGCAATCTTTTTTTTTTTTTTTAAATCCATTGTAGAATTGAGGACTTGAGGTGCCATTTATCGTGGTGTGACATGGGTTGAAGTGCAATTTTTGAATGCCTACATAAGATTGTCGATTGCAGTCACAAAGTTGAGGTGTGATTAATGATTTTTCGAACTTCAAATTGTTGATTGATGATTTATAAATGTAAGTTTAGGTCTGGAAGTTTGTAAGTATGTAAAACTGGAATGATAATGATTGCTCGAGTTCTCACCTCCTTGGTAGTCACTCCTCCCTTTGACGGTTTGGCCTTTGGGCTTTGTATTTGGAATTAAAAATAAATGATTTGGGAAATTAAAGACTATAATTATAATATTTATACGGCATGGTTTATAAACAAAACATATTGATAATGATCTATACCCAACTTTTTTTATTAAAAAAAGTTAACGGGTACAATATGTTACCACCGTATCAAAATTAAGATCCAAACTCTTATGGTCAAAACCCATTCTATAAATATCTATGTATATATGGGTGAATGGGTGTGTACTTGCGGAACATTGGACTTGATTTATGGTATATGATATATATAATGTGGCAACTCGGTTAACCTTAAATCGTTATTCTTTGTAGGGCATAAATGAAGGTTAATTGCTAAAATGATTAAAATATAAGGTATCATATTACAAAAAGATCATACTATGAGCATTATTATAAAAAAATATTTTGTAATATGGATATTGCAAAATCTTTTAAAAATAAATAAATAAATAAGTTCTTGAAATTGATTTCCTCTTTGCAAAATGATACTATATTTATGAAAAATAGCATAAATTTTATTAAACGACATCATCTTTTTATCAAAATGACATCATACTTTTTTTGCAAAATAAGATTTTTCTATAAAATTTTATTACTTCAACTAATTCCATAAAGTCAATTAGTAATTCGTTCTTCAAGATAGTATATGTTTACGTATAACTAGACTTGAGACTTGAGATATGTTCGGAAAGGTGGTGGCAAAATCGGCATACACCACCTCCAAAAGGTGGTATGCCGAGTACAAAGTAGTCAAGCGGCATTGTGTTGCCGAGGCGAAAGAAATAAGAGAGGAAAGAGAGTGTGATGGTTTAGGCTATTTAAAAAAAAAAAAAAAAAATCAAAATTTACCAATTTGACTCGTCCTCTGAAAACGACACATGTCACATATATCTTGTAGCAAAGGTAACGTGACAGTGAAATAGTTGCCGAAAACTTATGTGGCAGCTGACATGTATTAACACTGTTGCGTACAACCTTATAACTACAAAGCAAAAAACTTTTATTCTATTTATGTGTTAGAAAACAATCCAATGATCCATATTCCAATACTTTTAACATTATTTTTTTTGTAAGAAAATATACCATATAGTTGTGATGATTGATCAATTTATTAAAATAAATTTGAAATTATATTTATAAATTTATTTTATGCAAAAAGAAAAGATAGTATAAACTATAATAAAGTTAACACTCAACATTTTTTTTGATTTGATTTACATAATAAGATGATAACTTAAAAGGTTAATTTATTTTTTGATTTGTATAAATTTGGTTATTGAATTTTTTTGTTCACATTTACCCTTCAACTTGGTTAACTTTATACATTTAGTACTTATAATCAATTACTTCGGGTAAACCATAAAAAATGACTTAAAAATGTGATATATTTCTCATTTTACATTTAGTCTTTAATATATATATATATTATATATATATATATATATATATATATTACTTTTTAACGAAAGTAATGTAAATGAAAGTTGTAGTAGATTCAAATACGAACACGTTGATATAAATATCGTTAAAATCCGTTATCGTTTGGAGAAGTTTTGATATTTGAAACACAAGATCTGAGTCAAACTACAAAAACTAAGCAACCAAGCAGTCGAGGCAGCCGTAACCATAAACATAAACATCTCTGGATACCTTATTAATGATTGTCTCGCATAAGAGATTGTGAGAAAAACCTAAAAAAATCGATCATAAGTACTGAACATATATAAAAATAACAAATACTTATTTGCAACAGAAAAATATTAATTACTAAATGTGCAAAAAAAAATATTAAGAACTAAATGTGTATAAAATTAGAAATATATTACCCTTTTAAGTTATTTTTCGGACTTATTCGAAGTAGCCAGTCATAAAAATTAAATGAATTAAATGTGTACAGTTAAACAAATTAAAATGACTTAATAACTAAATATATACAAATCTAATAACTAAATATATACAAATCAAAAATATATTAGCCTTTTAATCATTATCTCTTTACAAAATAGTGAAATACAACCCTTTTTTTATATAGATTTTACCTTCATTATTTTTTGTTTTGTAAGGAATTTTTTTAACCGTGCGTCCAAACACCTCTAAAACTCAAACGAACCCTAAAATGGCACACTTCGCAATTTGACAGTTGCTATAGCTCCGAGGTACTATCTCTTCGATTTCCGAGAGAGAAAAAACAGAGAAAGATGAGCGGTGCAGGGAAGAAGGTGGTGGATGTGGCATTCAAGGCATCTAAATCTATCGATTGGGATGGCATGGCGAAGATGATCGTCACCGATGAGGCTCGTAAGGAGTTCTCGTCACTCCGCCGTGCCTTTGAGGAAGTCAACTCAACTCTTCAGACCAAGTTTAGCCAGGTCATTGCATCAATCTCTCTAATCATTTTTTATATTTATCGATTGACGATATGTGTTTTTCTATATTGAATCTATCGATGTCAAATGTTAAACGATACGGATCTGCATTTTTGTTGATAGCTAGGGTTTCTGTAATCGGAAGCATTCAGATTAGGTTTGATGCTGATATCGTTCTTTTGAATCGGTTATACGTATATCATGTCCTGTGATCTGTACTTTGGTTTTACATCGAGAAGTTTCGTTTATCTGTGCAGATATGATAAATTGATCGTAATTTTGGAACTCGCAGTTCTTTGCTGAATTGGATTGTCAAAAGCATTTAAATTTGTAGATGCAATTGAAATGAGAATCTTCATATGATATGGTTTTGAGAATTTAGGTATTTGTTCAGATAACAAGGTGAAGAAAACACACAAAACTATGGAAGTTCACTTGCTATTTGATATAATTTTCTAGGTTTAAAATTACCTGACTCTTCTGTCCTTGTTTCTGCTATTCTACTATTGTCATCTAATCCAGAAACTTGAAATTCTACTGTTGGCATCTCAATTATATGAAATATCTTTATAATCAGCATTCATAAGATATCAATTAATGAATTTTCTTTTTGGATAATGCAGGAGCCAGAACCTATTGATTGGGAATACTACAGGAAAGGACTTGGATCCCGCATTGTTGATTCTTACAAAGAATATTATGAAAGTAAGTCTTTCTTTACCAACAAACAAACATGCATACACTTTTATACAAACCATGTTTTTGCAAACAGTTACATTCATGATCCTCTTTACAGGTGTTGAAATCCCAAAGTTTGTTGACAAAACTACCCCAGAGTACAAACCCAAGTTTGATGCACTGGTAAGAAACTATATACTATTAAATTTTAGTTCTTAAATTCTGATCTGATAATATATATATTTGTAAAATTGAAATGACAGTTGGTGGAACTGAAAGAAGCAGAGCAGAAATCTCTCAAGGAATCTGAAAGACTTGAGAAAGAAATTGCTGATGTGCAAGACCTCAAGGTAAGAAACAATGATGATGTGGCAAAAAATTTAAAGTTAAAATCCATTTTAAGTGGTTATTTCTTTGTTGATAATTGAATTTAATTGTTTGATTATGACAGAAAAAGCTTAGCACCATGACTGCTGATGAGTACTTTGAGAAGCACCCAGAGTTGAAGAAGAAGTTTGATGATGAAATCAGAAATGATTACTGGGGCTATTGATTTTGATTTTCTTCAAGTGAAGGAAGGAAGGAAGATGTATTTGTTTTTGTTATAGAAATAAAGCAAGAGGAATGAAGATGCTTGGGTTTTTATTTGTTTG